TTACGATTTACGGGGTATTGGGCTCTCTGGGTCTATGTGATGCGGGCTTTGGCCCATCAGCTGTCGTGCTAGGTGTGAATAATCGTTGTTAGGACAGTCAAACCCGGAATGTAAAGCGCCCTAAACCCTAAACCTAATGTAGGGGCCTGAATAATTACCAATACTATTTTTGGGGGTTCCGTGTTATAGCTATAGCATAATATACACCAAAACCCTTTTCTAAGTATTAAGCCCCCTATACCTAAGCATTGAACCCTCGTCCCTCCACTACGCTGCTGTTTCTTGACCCTTGGCAGGTAAGGTGCCGGCTTCTCCAGCAGATACAGCGAGGAGAGATTTTCCAAGGGCTTCGGGTTGAGAGTCAACGGCTTTTTCAGGCCTATTGTGCACTCATTGCAGAACCTTCAAAAAGAACCCATCTCGTACCCTTCAAGCAGCACGTATACTAGTGAGCGCCTCGTAAGGTTCTGTTGGTCTTTGTGCTTGGGGTTTAGTGTTGAGGATTGAAAGATTCTGGTTTACAGGTCCCTAAACCCTGGAGCGCAAACCCTACCCTGTAAGGCTTGGCATTTAAAGAGCCGCTGGGCATCACCGGAAACCCTCAACCCCAAAGCTCAGACTAGGCAATTCCAGTTCCAGAGAACCGTGAAAAGCCCAATCACAGCTGGCCATCTCAATGCCCCGCGAACCCGAGAATTGAGGTAGGTTGCTGTAATCGAACACCTACACCACTCAAATTCCAGCTCACTTGTCAATCTGCTGTGTAGCCTTCAGGGATGGACCTTACACCCTAGCCAATCGAAAGAGGCCAAACAACGCGGACATAAACGGGGCGTGTTGGCGAGGAGATGCCTTGCAAGCCCTGGCGACAGCCCCGGCGCGGCTGAGGGAGGACCGCTTGTTGGTCTTGGCAGCCGTGCAGGTGGGTTGAAGCAGGGTTTACGGCGTTTTTCGGGTTTGGGCTTGGGGTTTACGCTTTAGGGTTCTGAGTGGTAGGGCTGTTTTTGGCCTCGTTTTTGCCGGAGGAGGAGAGTTACGAATCAGTGGTCTATCTGCACTCTGTTCTTGAATGCGGGTGTTTATGATGGCCTTCCTCCACTCGACTTGAGTGTACGTCTGCAGCACGTGTTGGATAGAGTTGGATTGGATGTACGAAGCTACAGTGCTTAGGATTTCGGTGTTCAGGCTATTGGCCTTTATAGAGCCGTTCACAGTACCCTTACCTTGGATCCTTTAACTAGAACCCTTTGCAGAAAGAGCGCCCATTGTAGAACCCTTTCTGGTGATGTCTTTTGCAGAAGCCGGTCAAAAACCCCTTGAAGGACCCTTCGCGATCAGATAAATAGAACTCATGTAACTCCAAGCCTCAAATCCTAAACCTTAAAACCCAAAACCCTAAACCCTAACTTCCTATGCCCTTTCCCCAAAGCCTCTGTTAGGTGCACGGCTGGGCTTTGGACTTGGCGGCGGCGAAGCTGAAGCGTGACCGCGAGGCGCTGTTTCCTTGAGTAGTAGACGGTCTCAAACCGTAGACTTTACATCCGAAGTTCTAAGCCTTCTAACCGCTAAAATTCTAGATTTCTGAAAACCCTTAAGCCCTTAACCCTTATTGGGTCTCTCGCGGTCCTTGTGCAACAAAGGTAAGTTTAGGTTTGGGGTTTGGGGTTTAGGTGAAGTTGAGGGTTTCGGGTGTAGGGTTAAGGGTTCAGGCGTTTGTTGACTTACGGGATGTTGAGCAGGAAATTCTAGGTGGTCAGTGGCTGAGTTACCATAACCCTAAGGGCCCAAGCGCCTCATAGTCATGTACTGCGCCAAAATACTAGGTCACATGATGACCCCACGCATCTTGTTATTGTGTCTTTTGGACCTTGATAGTACTGACTGCTCGCTTCAGCTGCTTCAGCTATTGCTGCTGTGACTTGTGTGCCTTTCGGCGAAGCCCAAACCCAATACATCCCCAACCGAAAAAGCCCTAGTCGATACTTGTAGGATTTGGGGTTTATTGGGTTTTTTGGGATTCAGGATCTAGGACTTATCGGATCTATACTCCACAGATCCTCACAGTCCTCTACCCTGAACCCTAAACCCTAAACCCTAAACCCCTAAACCCTAAACCCCTGAACCCCAAACCCTAAACCCTAAACCCTACACCGTCTACCCTGAACCCTAAACCCTCAACCGTTTACCCTGAACCGTCTACCCTGAACCCTGCTCCACGCGCTTCAGGTGGTCATGGCAGCGGTGCGACAGAGCCACTGAGCTTTACAGTAGTCATAGGCCCTAAAGTAGTTCCTTTTTGGGGTTCCCTAAGGTTTAGGGTTTAGGGTGTAGGGGCCCTAAAGTAGTTCCTTTTTGGGGTTCATATTCAGAATCCTATTAGGGAGTCCCAAGAAGGAACTACTTTAGGGCCTATGGGTAGTCCTGTCGGGCTGAGTTTATCACGCCATCACGTGGTAGGCTTTCTCCAATACGAGAATACGAGGATATAGTTCTGTATCAACATCAGTGATATCAGCATCAGTATTAATTTTTCGAGGTAAGAGGCAAACGGATTGTTTGAGGCAAAACTGGAAGTGTAAATAGTAGCATGGTGAGAGGAGCTGCACGCCTGTGCTGCGGGGAAAGGCATTGCGTTTCATGCCCAGGTTTGGGGGCTCGGGCTTTGCCCACTCCGCGGGAGGGTCGCTGATTGCCTCAGAGATGCTTGCTTTGAGGGTTTGGGTGTAGGGTTTAGAAAAAAAGGGCAGGGCTGGGTCAGTGAGGACCTCCCATTAACTTGTGTGCTGTGATGAGGAGCTTGGTTTCGGATCGGTCCTAAAGCATGCCTGAAAGAACATTGCAGCGACCACCGTCTCCGGTGCACTTACCGTACTGGGACCTTCATTATGAAACCCTTAAACCCTAAACCCTAAACCCCAAAACCTGTGATTGTAAAAGCCGATTTCGTAGGGGTTTTGTTGCCGTATGGGGCTCAGTAGTTTGGTATCGGAGCCCAAAGCCAAGCTTCGGCTTACACACACACACATATGGGTGGTTGTCAAAATTATGGTCCCTTTTTGGGTCCTTCTTATAATACCGCACCTATTATTTAGGGTACCCCAAAAGGGACCATAATTTTGACAACCACCCATATCCCAGCGTTTAGGGTTTAGGGTTTAGAGGCGATTGCACAAGTCCTGATGCGAAAAATAACTGACGATGGCTCCCACCTCATCAACCTATGCTCGGTGTATGAAGGCGGTGACAGTCCATGACAGTCAGAGCTTATTGCGCTTTGGCAAATGTGGGGCACATAAACCATAAACCCAAAACCCAAAACCCTAAACCCTAAGCCCTAAACCCTAAACGCCTATGATCATGCTTTGAGCCTGCTTGTGGGCTTTTCAGGTTGGGTTGCCCGTGGTAAGCAAAATGCGCGGGAAGAAGGTGAAAACGGAAGATGCTGACTAGAACCTGAAAGGAAAGACTAAGCCTTTCAAAGAGGAGCCCTAAACCCTAAACCCTAACCCTTGGCAAAGGGACCCCTTGCTGAGAACGGCCCAAGGCGGCTTAGCTTTGGAGTTCGCCCATCGGCGCCGGCAAAGCGACTTGGGCGTAGTCCTCGCCGCGGTGGAGGCGACTGAGAGGGCTTGGCTTGGAGGGCCGAGGGGGTTGGGCAATATACGGTTAAGGCTTATACTAGAGTTATATGTTACTCGAGTTATTAGGGTCGGTTGGGCTCTTTAGGGTAGAATTTGTTCATGCGCCGGGCTTGGGTGGATTTCGGGAGGTTTTCAGGGATCTAAGAATTTCGATAGTCTCGTGACAGCGAATTTCCCCCCAGGGTTTGCGCACGAAGTTAGCGTTGGCAGGGCATTCATGCTCTGGGGTAGTGCACGGGGCAGAGAGAGTGCCCTCTTAGTTAACCTTCGGCCCGCTTCCTCCGATGCTTACATTTAATATCTTGTATCGATGCACGGCGGGATCTCGCAGGGTTCTTCCTCTTACCTGAGCCTCTACGTCGTCATATGCTCCATTGGTTTGCTTGTCCGTCGGATGTGCACTCGATCAGTGGCCATTCTTTGGGTCAAGTACTTATCAAGTGCGAGCCCCAAATCCTAAACAGTAGACCCTACATCATATACCCCCAAACCCCAAACTCTAAACCCTATAGACCCTAAACCCTGAACCCTAAACCCTAAACCCTACCCTGAACCCTGAACTCTAAACCCTAAATCCTACCCTGAACCCTGAAAGCTCCGAACCCTAAACCCTAAACCCTAAAACCATGGAAATTCAATGTTGAGGGCTTCCCGGGTCTCGGTTCTTGTCGATGTCGACATTTGAGCCTTCAGGGTTTAGAATCAAATGGCGAAGGATTCTCGGGCATGGGGTTCAGATAATTGGGGTTTAGGGTTTAGGGTGATGGGTTTAGTGTGTGTGTGTGTGAGTGAGTGTTTGCGAGCTGGCCCTAAACCCTTAAGCTATAAACTTAGGGGTACTTAGAAATAATTTTTAATCTTTGGCTACTATAAACCCTAAGAAGCAGCTAAAATTATAATTTTTGCTAGGGGTCTAAGTTCAGTATAGTAAACCCTAAACCCCAAACCCGAAGCACAGGAACCCGGAAGCCCAAAGTCGAAGTTTTCAGGCTTCTCTATGGACGTGGCGGGGCTTCTTAACGACCAAAAGCCGGAAGAACAGTGAGGCCCACATCCCTAAACTCCGAAGCCCCGAAACCCTAAATCCTAAGCCACGGTTTAGGGTTAGGGTTTAGGGTTCAAGCCCAAACATCGAAGCAATAAGCGCTATGCCAGAAATACCCTAAACCCGAAGCCCTCAACTCTAAACCTCAAATCCTGAGCAGTTAGACCCTCAATCGTAAACCCTAAGCCCTAAACCCTAAACCCTAAACCCTAAACCCTAAACCCTAAACCCTAAACCCTAAACCCTAAACCTTAAAACCTAAGCCAGGAAATCCGGAGCCTCAAACCCTGGGCCCTCAGACCCACAAACACGAGGAGCAGCTCGGATCCGGATCTTTTCAAGATCCTCGCAGAGGTCGTGCAGGTGGCTCTTTTGGGGTTGATGGCACCTTCTTGCCTACTTGCTCCAAAGCCGTTTAGGGTTTAGGGTAGCCCTCAAAATTATCCTTTCTCGCAGCCGTTATAGTAACCTTGTATGAGGCCTTCTAGCAACCTGATAGTAGAACCCCAAACCCCCTAAACCCTAAACCCCGAAACCCTAAATCCCTAAACCCCCAAATCCTAAACCCCCAACCCCTTAACCCCCAAACCCTAAACCTCCGAACCCTAAGCCAAAAACCGTAAACCAAAAACCCTAAACCGGTAGCCCTTGTGGCAACCCTTATAGAAACCACGATGACCCCTAGACCCACAACGGCGAGGCCTGAGTCGACATGCCTAGAACTGGAGGATGTAGGGGTTAAGGGCTTTGAGATAAGGGTTTAGGATTTAGGGTTTAGGTTGAAGGGTTTAGGATGTAGGTTAAGGGCTTAGGGATAAGGGTTTAGGGTCTCTAACCGAAAAAGCCATTTTAGGGCCTTTTTTTGGTTTCCGTATCTAATTCCTTCAATCAAGGGGTGGCTTTGCTTTGGGCCAAGTACTCTTTTGCAGGATTTCTGTCACCGCGATGTTTCACACAGCTTATGAGTTGTATAAAAATAGAGGTGTTGAAAACTTCTTTGCAACGCTCAATCACATCAACAAAATCATAAATTATGCTAGTAGAAAACTGAATTATTAAGAAACTGGTGATGGTCTCTGCACTCCTGACGCCAGTGCCTCGTCTTCACAAGTCATCACAACCACCAGTGAGAAGCCCAAGCCCTTCAACGTGGAGGATGACACTGAGTTCTTGGAAATCTTCAATAACATCAAGACGGACAAGACAAAGGTTCAGGACTTCATGCAAGTTTTGAAGTCCGATACCGAGATTGCCATAGCTAAGTTTCTCTTCGTCAAGAAGTTTGTCACGAAGCAGGAAAGCCTTATGAAGAAGGCTAAGGCAGATGCCGAGAAGAAAGCCGAGATTGAGGCTAAGAAAGCAGTGGAAAGATGAACTTTATGTGGTTGAAGAAGTAAAACGAGACCCACAACTTAATGAATATTATGTTTTGGAAGGTAGGACGAAGCATTATAATAGACATGAGTTGTTGTTGGTTGATTGAAAACACCAAAAGACTTAAAGACAAAAAGCCCTATAATATTATACCCAATCTTCACCTCGAAGTTGTCAATCATCTGAGACGTCATCTTGGAAATGATCCCCTCAACGAAGTCATCGTCTGAGTTCATCAGCTCAGAGCACTTGTCCATCTCGGTCTTTGTGAAGAAAAAGGTCTCAGCAAAGTTTTTGTTGAAGGGCTTTCATATGCCAATCTTAAACCCTGAGCATAGGGTGCAGTGTTTAGGGTTCAGGGTTTAGGGTTCACGGTTTAGGGTTGAGGGTTCAGGGTTTAGGGTTCAGGGTTTAGGGTTTAGGGTGCAGGGTTTAGGGTTTAGGGTTTAGGGTTCGGGGTTTAGGGTTTAGGGAGCAGGGTTTAGGGTTCAGGGTTTAGGGTTCAGGGTTTAGGGTTTAGTTAGGGTTTAGATCTATATAAGCCCGAGCAAAAGGCACCAGAAAACTCCAGAAAGCCCATTCGACCCGAGACCCCTAAGCCCCAAAGCCATAAAAGCCTAAAGCCTTAAACCCTGAAGCCTGAAGGCCCGAAGCTAGGGTCCGTAAAAAAAAAGAAGGCCCGAGACTCTATAGTTCAAGACGCCTTAGAGCATCATCAAACAAGCCTACAAGACATCACGAGCCCCCAACCCTATGAAGCCCTACAGCACTCCATCAACCCAAATGTAAAGAGCACAGCTGCAAACTCCCAGACCACAAGAGGGAACGTCAACACAACCGTAACCACCTAAACCCGTAAAAGCCTGAAGCTCTGCACCCCAAACCCTACTACACCCCACCCGCCTAGGCCGTAAGCCCTAAACCCTAAACCCGAAGCCCTAAACCGTTTAGCCACCTAAACCCTATACGCCTCAAGCTCTGCACCCTAAACATATGCTCCCTGACGAGCTCTCTGGCGTCCCCTCCCACAGGCCTCGAGCCCGGCACTCCCGCGCCCAGAGCGTCTCATCCAGCCGCTGGTCTGGGATAATGCAGAGTTTGTGGTTTAGGTTTTAGGGTTTAGGGTTTAGGGTTTTGGGCCCTAAATCCTCAACCCTAAACCCTAAACCCTTAAAAGCCTTAAGCCCTACATATCATACCGCAAAAGATAGAGGTAGCGCAAGACTCTTCGCAATTATTCCGACCCCTACATTCATGGAGCTCCGGGCTCAGGGGGTTCAGGGTTTCGAGTTTAGGGTCCTGGCGGGATGATCGCAGATTTTGTCCGAGTCTTGCAAGATTGTATCCTAAGGCTTTAAGTGCTGGCGGGCTTAGGCTTGGGATGTGAGGGATTCCTCGCCAGGGCTTTGAGGGTGTGTCTTGTGTGTTTTTTTTGTTGTTTTTTTGTTGGGGGGAAGGGGTTTTAGGGCGGATCTTATTGTGTTCTCTTCGATCTTATGTGGTTTGGTTGGATAAAAATCCCTTGGGGCATTGGGGATTGGATTCAGGGTTTTAATTGAAAGGATTTTTCGGTGGTTACAGTGCGAGCTGTAGCTGTCTCCTGAAGAGGAGGCAAGCCTTGGGGTTATGAGGTGTAGGGTGTAAGGTAGTAAGGTGTTTGGTGGTTCCAGCCCTTGGGGTGAATGGGGGGGAAGTCTCTTTTCGGGGTTCGAAGGCTTTAGGCCTGATCTGTACAAGATTCGGTTTAGGGTTTTAGGGTTAGGGTGCTAGATCTACCGGGTTGCGCGTGACCTTTACCCAAAGGCCTCATCCAACTCAGTCCATCAGTGGTTTGGGCGTCGTCACCAATCCTACTCCAGGCCACCGTAAGTATACCCCAGAAGCCCTCACGGTAGACCAAAGTCTCTGACCGAAACCCCAAACCCTAAACCCTAAACCCTAAACCCTAAACCCTAAACCCTAAACCCTAAACCCTAAACCCTAAATCCTACGCCCGTGCACGAGGAACCCCCTGCTGCTCATGGGATTCATCCTTCGATGCGTCTACAGCGAGGACTTGCGTCCCCTTCGCTGTCATCTTCAAGGGGGTAGTTCTCTAAATCAGGGTTTAGGGTTTAGGGTTTAGGGTTTAGGGTTTAGGTAGTTCTCTAAAGTAGGGTCCCTTTTAGGGTCCTTTTTTTATAAGGATGCCGTACTATCTTGGGGACCGAAAAAGGGACCCTAATTTAGAGAACTACCCATATGGACATGCTATGTTGTGACACCCCTCCGCATACGCCCCTAAAGGAAACCAAACGTAAGCAACATACATGCAAACCCTGCAGGCGCCAATGAAATGGGAGTTGTCGAACATCAGAGATACCTAAACCCTGACCTCTCTTGCAGGCCCCTCCCATCTCAGAGCAAGTAGGGTCCCTAGCCTTCGGAAGCTTCTCAAATCCTTCGGCCCTGCCACGCTCAACCCTTCACCCCCCGGACCCGAAACTCGCCCTAAACCCTTAATCCCCGTAAGCCCCAAAGCCCCAAGCCCTACACCCGAAGCTGCAAGCCCTAAACCCTGAACCCGAAACTCTAAACCCTAAACCCTAAACCCTAAACCCTAGACCCTAAACCCTAAACCCTGAACCCGAAGCCCTAAACCCTGAACCCTAAACCCTAAACTCACCAGCCGGAAAACCTCGGGCCTCCAAGGCAAGGCCTTTTGAGACCACGCAGAAACCCAGACGACCGGTTAGGGTTCAGGGTTCAGGGTTCAGGGTTTAGGTTTAGGGTTTAGGGGTTTAGTGTTCAGGGTTCAGGTTTTAGGGTTTAAGGGCTTAGGGTTCAGGGTTCAGGTTTTAGGGTGTAGGGTTTAGGGTCTAGGGGACGACATGAACTTCTGCAAGTTGGGACAGGACAGTCTCGTCGCCTAGGTCTGCGATGTTTGGGGGCACGCTTGAGACAGCCGAGAACGAGATTGTCGCTAATATGGCCCGACATCGTCAAGAGGTATGATGCCACCTATGGCACTCTCAACATGGACTTTCCCATGATCGGCCGGTTGAGGGCTTAGTGTTTAGGGTGTAGGGTTTAGGATGTGTAGGGTTTATGGCCGTTCAGGGCTTCTAGGATTTTAGAGTTTATGTATAGGGTTTGTGGCCGGGTTTACTGGGCTTTATCGGGGTTATTGGGCTTATCAGGTTTATTGGTAGTAAGGCTTAGATGGTTTATAGAGTTCATAGATCGTAGGGTTCCTTTAGGACTTAGGACGGTAGGGCTGAGAGGGTTTATAGAGTAAAGGGTGACAGGCCCAAGCTTCGGGTCTTGGGGTTGCGTTTGTAGGCTTGGGCTGGGTTCAGAGCTCAGTTGAAGACCTGTGCATACGTTGCTGCAGGGAAGCATATTGAAGAAGATACTGCAAGCTTTCACAACCCCCATCCCTGAAACCCTAAAACCCTAAACCTTAAACCCTAAACTCCAAATTATGCGGACGGCAAGCCCCGAGCCTTGAACCTACAGTAAGCTCGAAACTGAATCTCTAGAACCACACCTCGACAGCCTTCGAAGGATCAAAGATGCCATGCTGTGGACATTTTTGAAAGCGTCGATAAGATGTATGCCTGCAGCCCGGGCGGCAAATCTTGTCGATTGATAATAGCGATCCCCGACAGGAGATCCGACCATAAGATGCCTAAATCCTTTGCCCTAAGCCTTACGCCCCCAAGCTGGACAGGGTGTAGGGTAGGGACTCGGAGATATGGTTGGGGTTCCTAAACCCTAAACCTCAAACCCGAAACCTTAAACCCTAAACCCTAAACCCTAAACCCTTAAGCCCTAAACCCTAAACCCTGCTCTACCAGGAAAATGCAGTGAATGATGTGCTTCCTTATGACTTCATAGCCTTCATCCCCTCGGGTGTATCTCCTTCGGGTTGAAGCAGGCTAACGAGGGCTTAGGGTTTAGGGTTTTAGGGTTTTAGGGTTTAGGGGCTAATGGCTCTAATTCAGTTCAGTCTTAGGGTTTAGGGTTTAGGGTTTTAGGGGTTTAGGGTTTTGGGTTTAGGGGTTAAGGGCTCTAAGTCGGTTCACTAAGTTCCTTATAGACACTGAACTCTTAGATTCGGTTTCAGAGGTGCCTAGGGTCCAAGGCCCAGGGACGTTTGGGGGTTCTGGGTTCACGGATGGAGATGGCACTGCGTAATGCCGAGGCCGAGCATTCTTTAATAGGATCCCCTTACGGTTGCCTTGTAAGTATACCATAGTATGCCCAAAAACTCTATTGAGATTATCCGGCCCTTATATCATAGAGCTCTTGTCGTTGCCATGATAGTAACCCTTCTAGAAGCCCTTGTTGATTGTAGACCCCATTATAGAGTGACCCTATTCCAAGTATTAGGCCCATGCCGTCTTCTGTACTCTAACCCCAAGCCCTAAACCCTAATCTAGCTTAGAGTGTTTGTCCCACCAAACGAGTAGGGCACTCTGATGCCCCTCATATAGGGGCCTTATCTTCTGTTTGTATAACCATAATCAACCAGGAAGCCGAGCTTAGGGTTTGGGGTTTAGTGTTCAGCTTCGATGGTACTGTTGATGGACAAAATTCTGCATGACCCAAATATAGTATAGTGCCATAAATCCCATAGTTTAGGTATATAAGGTCATGCAGGACTTTGTCCATCAACCGTATCAAGAGCCTGGTCTTCCCAGTAAGCTCCGATCCCCCAGGATCCCATTCCTAGAATTTTGATACAGGTTGGGGGTTTTAGGGCTAGTCCCCTAAACCCTTTTCTCTAAGCCCCTTTAACCCCTACCCTAATCCCTCAACCCTAAACCTTAATCTCGCCATCACTCCAAGGCATCCCAAAGGCGGATGCTACTGCGCAGGGCGCCGACGCTGACCTGTGGGTGGGGTTCCTTGGCGAAGCTGGGTTTGAGATGAGGGTTTTAGGGTTCAGGGGTGTAGGGTTTGGGATTCAGGCGTTTAGGGTTTTGGGTTTAGGGTTTGGGGTTTAGGGTTTTAGGATCTTGGGTTTTGGGGCTTAGGGTTGGGTTTTCCATGAGGGTTAAGGGTTTTAGGGTTAAGAATTGTGGGTACACCCTACAGCCGTAACACTGAAGGGTGCAGAAGATCCTGACACTGAGCTACGAGCCACCTGGGCCCTGCCAACTAGGGTTTAGTTAGGGCTGCTAGGGTTTAAGGCGATTAGTTTTGGGGTCTAGGATTTACGGCGTGAATCGACGGTTGGTCGCATGGCAAGGGGGGCTGACTAATCAGAATCGAGTATCAGGGATCTAGAAGGTTTCTATAGCGAGACGAAGCATCCGACCAGTGGTACCCTAAACCCTAAACCCTAAACCCTAAACCCTAAACCCAAGACCCTAGACCCTAAACCCTAAACCCTAAACCCCAAAACCCCAAAGCCCTAAACCGGCCTTGCGCCGGCAATTGGTTGGACAAGGGGCTCTTCGAGTCACGATTACTTTGGCGATGAAGGGTTGCAAGGGAGCAGGTGAAGGTGGGTAGTTCTCTAAATCAGGGTTTAGGGTTTAGGGTTTAAGTAGTTCTCTGAATTAGGGTCCCTTTTGGGGTCCTTTTTATGTGAGGGTGCCGTACTATATTGGGGACCTAAAATTAAAAAAAGGGACTTGTTTTAGAGAACTACCCAGGTACAGAATGTGCTCCGTTCCATGTCTCAGAGTCAAGAGGCAAAACTGCCTGCTACCGAGGTAGATTCCTAAGCTGGTACCCTATCCAGGACCAGGTGGGTAGTGACCGTTATAGGAGCCTTTTAGAAGGTCTATATACCTTATAGAAGCCTTATAGAAGCCCTATGTACCCTAAACTACCCTCCTGTAGTTTCCTTTAACTCTAGTAAGCCCTTGTGGAGCTCAACATGGAGCCCTAAACCCTAAACCCTAAGTCCTAAACCCTAAATCCTCAACCCTAGACCCTGAACTCCTAAACCCATAACCCAAAGTCCTAAACCCTAAACCCTAAATCCCAAACCCTAGACCATAAACCCTAAATCCTCAACCCTAGACCCTAAACCCTAAACCCTAAATCCTAAACCCTGGACCCTAAACCATAAATCCCCAACCCTGGACCCTGAACTCCTAAACCCTAAATCCTAAAACATCGAGGTTTCAGAGGGAGGCCGACGAGCTTGAGAAGCACCTTACGTGCGTGGAGCTGCTTCTGGGTTCTTGTTAGGAAGTTTGATTCCATTTCAGTGTCCATAGTCGGGATCTATAGTAAATAATAGGGTTTGTTTCTTGTGGTGGCTTAAAAAATATAGGGATCTATAGTATTGTTTCTTATGGTGGCTTAAAATTGAAACCCTAAACCCTAAACCCTAAACCCTAAATCCGAAACCCAACACTGAATCACTTAACAAGAGCCCAGGCTTCAGAAGCACAAGATCAAGCTTTCCCTCAGCCACGGAGCTGCAGCTGAGGTTCGGAGGATCCGGGATTAGGCCTAGGCCGTGGTTGAAGTTTTCCCTAAACTATAAGCTAGGGTTTAGAGTTTAGGGTTTAGGGTCTAGGCATTAGGGTTTAGGGTTTAGGGTTTAGGGTTTAGGGTAAGCCCTCAACCCTTAAGCCGTAATTACGCCCTCAACCCTTAAATGCTTAAGCGAAGCAGAATCCCCCGAAGTCGGAGATCCTTGGCCTCAAAGCCGGCAGCCGCACCGCCCCTATCAGACTCCATAGACCCCCAACCCTTTCGCAGGCTAGCCCTAAACCCTGAACTTCCCTAAACCTGCCTAAGCCCTTAAACCTAAAAAACCCAAACCCTGCACTTCCCTAAACCTCCTTCAGCCCTAAAACCCAAAAAACCCAAACCCTGAAACCCAAAAAGCACCGAAAACCCCCGAAGCCGACTCCCCACGAACTTCATCCCCACGCCGTTGAGCCCCAAACTTTAAACCCATGAGGCTCTTGAGCCTTACCACGGTTTAGGTTTTAGGGTTTAGGGTTTAGGGTTTAGGCACGAGTCAGGAGAATTAGTGACAGTATCCCCTTAAACACTCTTAGACAACTCTACTATGACATACTCCAAAGGTCTACTCTTCTAACTAGTCAGTTTAGTACCCTTTAGATTTAAAACTCTGCAAACCAGGCTTCGCAGATCTTCGAAGAGGCTGCAGCAACGAGAATCTTGCCGTTCACTGCATGTGGAATCTGCTCCTCGGATAATTTGGGCTGGTCTTGGCCTTGCAAAAGATACAAGAAGAGTTACTATAAGGATGTATGTTCAGCTTTGTTCTGTGTTCCGCGGAGCTCATTTTGATTCCAGGTGGGTTGTAACTTGGGCTGTGGCTTCGGTATAGGGGTCTAGGGTTTAGGATTTAGGGTGAGTGGAGGGTTTGGTTTTCCACGCAGTGTGGAGCGGTTCTAACGGTCACGGCAAGGAGGACTGGTCAGTGTGAATGCGAGGTTTAGGGTTTAGTGTTTAGGGGTTTAGGGCTAGGGTGCGGCTCCCATTATGGTGCGGTGCATATTTTGGCCTCGCGTCCCTGTCTCAATCTACCAGCACGCAAGACCTCATCGTTCATGACAGCCGAAGTCAAAGTTCTAGCTCTTTGGGACTGCGCCTCAGGCGTTTGCTGTTGTGCATTCGGCGCTGTCACATCTTGCTCAGAAGCAGAGTTTCTCGGCGGGAGTAGCAAAAGGTAGAAACTATGAGGGTGCACTGGTCCGACGAGCTTGAGAGGGAGCAGGGTGCTCCATGCAAGAAGGCACGCATGGCGTGCAACCGAATGGCAAGGTGCAACTACAACATCTTCACAGCCCATGCGTGCAAAGACCTATACATGACTCTCAACGATGTCTGTGCACACAGCCGGATGCTCTGCGTGCTGCTGGCCATCTACATGGTCAATTCCCCGTGAGTACTGCCTGGTGGGAACGATTGTTCTTTGTGCCAACACTCTAAGCCCTAAACCCTAAATCCAAACCCTAAACCCTACACCCGGAATCCAAACCCTAAACCCTAAACCCCAAGCCCCAAATCCAAACCCTAAACCTAAACCCTAAACCCCAAGCCCGAAACCCTAAACCCTAAGCCCCAAACCCTAAACCCTAAACCCTAAGCAAGCCCTAAACCCCAAGCCCTAAACCCTAAACTCTAAGCCCCAAACCCTAGACTGGTGCTCTCCCTGTGGCCTGTCCTCCCCCAGACTTCGAAGCCCCACTCCCCCTAATCTGGGTTCTTGCTAGGGAATTTAGTTTATATAAGTTTCCATAATAGGGATCTATAGTAAACAGGGTCTAGGGTTTAGGGTGTAGGGTTTAGGATGACAGGGTGTCCTTATTATGGTAACTTAAAATTGAACCCCTTAGCAAGAACCCAGCTTCTGCCCCACGGTCGGAACCTAAGTTTCATGCCCCCGGACTTCTGGACCGGCGGCAGCCAGCAACAACAAAGGGGGCCTTAATAACTACCTATGGTTCCTTATTCTCACTATAGTATAAGATACCCTAAACCCTAAACCCTAAAACCTAAACCCTAAACCCTAAACCCCTAAACCCCTAAACCACTGTCTCAACCGATAGTTTACTCAAGCCCCCTCGGATGAGGTTCCGCGTCCTCGGCACACGCTACCGGCCAGCCGTCTTTTGGAGGGGCTTCCAGCAGGACCTCGCGTCCAGCGGTTTAGGGTTTAGGGTTTAGGGTTTAGGGTTTAGGGTTTAGGGTTTAGGGATCCTAGGCTCCTTTTTAGGGTTCCTTAGAGGGATCTATAAGGGTTTCTTGAAGGGTTCTATCCGCCCGAATCCTGGACTCCTATAAACCTTGAGTTCTGTGCGCTCTGCCTAGACGTAGACCCTCAACATGTACGCCATGGAACCTAAACAGTCCAAGCTCTGCAGCCCTTTCTCAAGCCCGGGTCCTTTGACATTGAAGCCCTGTCGTTCCTGAAGCCGAAAGCCTGCCAGCCACATCCGGGACTTTTACATGTAGTGTCCTATCCCTGCCCCTAACCCTCCAGGTACCTACTATATAGGGCCTTAGGGGCTCTAGTACCCTATATAGTAGGTAACTGGGGGGTTAGGGTGCTATCGTTACTTACTAGTGTTTTTACTGTGCGGTTGTTGCCATCAGGATCATGTTCAGCACTGCTTTTGCGACTGTCATCGTCATTTTTGAGAGAGTAACTAACTCCTTACACTATGGCCGTTGCCACCCTAAGTCGGTTTTGCCAAACTGCAAGACTAGAAAACGCAAGTTTGAGTCCACGGAACTTTCGCGCATGCAACTGTTTAATGTTGAATATAGTATAGGGGTCTAAATAACGACTTATGTTTTTTGGAGGGTTCCTTATGATAAATATGGTATACGATACCCCAAAACCCTATTCTAATTATGAGGGCCCGAACAGTAGATTGAGGGTTTAGAGTTCAGGATTCAGTGTCTTAGGTTGTGGTGAGCCCAGCTTCCAAGCATTTAGCCCGACATGTGGGCAGTCGCTGCAACTTTGATGCTTAAAGCTGAGCGTCCAGGGTTGAAAGGCTGGGTATCTAGTATAGAAACCTTGATCATGACTGTTGCTTCTCCTTAGGGTTCCTTGATGTACCCACAGTATACTACACCGCCTTGCAAGCCTAATCGCTTGAATTCATAAGCCCCCGCCTCCCACCCTAAACCCTGAAACCCTAAACCCTAAATCTCATGTTCAGGCGGCTTGGGCCTCAGGGCTTCGGGCTTGATGCCCCTAAACCCTAAACCCTAAGCCCTAATCCCTAAACCCTAAGCCCTAAACCCTAAACCCTAAACCCTAAACCCTAAACCCTAAATCCTAAACCCTAAACCCAAAATCCGAGTCCCTGATTTCGCCCGAGGAGCTCTTCTACCTGCATAGCCACGCCTTTGCTGCGGTGCCGCTGTCCTCGGTGTACGACATGTACGTTCGATGCCCCTCCAACTCATCAGCTGCGGTTTAGGGTTTAGGGTTTAGGGTTCAGGGTTTAGGTTATATGGGCTTGACAGCTGGAGGTATTATAGAAGCCTGAAGGATAAGTAGTACTATTACTCCGGGTTCATTATTATGACTATGATGACTATAGTATCCAACTGAAAGTATTTCAGTCCCTACATTGTCTTGGGTACCCCACGCTCTTCTTGCTCCATGGTTCGATCACAAAGCCTTGTCCTAAATATGCAGCCCTTTTCAACTGAGAGGGCTTGGGGGGATTTCAGGCTTTCGGATTTAGAGCCATTCTTTCCTGCCAGAAGTCATGGCTTCTCTTCGTTTATTGCTTCTTTGAGGGTCTAGAGGTCAGGATTTTAGGTTTGGGGTTTCAGGTTCTTGGGGGGCTAGCAGGGATGACCCTAGGAGAACGTGTCTAATATAGGGGCCTGTATTATTGCCTGTACTATTTTGGGGGTTCCTTGTTATAGCTATAGTATAACATACCCCAAAACCCTATTCCAATTTTTACGGCCCCTACATTACCATACAGTGTGCCCATTTACCAACATGGGGCCATCAATGCGAGCGTCCACTGCAAAGCAAACCAGTGCTTCTGATGCGGTCATATCTGCCCCAGTTGACACTAGAGCAGGCGATGCCCCATGGCTATCATTCTGACTCTGAGCCTTACCGTGAGTACCTAGTAACTACTCGTTGCTGAACTCGGGCTCTGCTGATATGCCTGTCATGTCGGCCATAAGGGCGATCAACTTCGCCAAAGATTCTCCTACTTAAGTGGTGTGCGGCTTGGAAGTTCCTCTAAGCCGCTATACCTTCAACCCGAAATGTCAGACAGTTTTGGGTTTAGGGTTGACGAACGGCTTGGAGGACGAGAAAACCGAACGCATATCCCTAAACCCTAAACCCGTAAACCTTTAATCCTAACCCCTAAACCCAGAGCCCTCAAACCTACGGCCTAAACGCTTATTGTAAACGTACGGCACCCTAAACCCTAAACCCTAAACCCTAAACCAAAGAAAGCAGCCTAGGTCTGGTTGAGCAGGAACACTTCGAGGCGCCCCACTTTCTCGGCTGGTTGCAATCCAGGGCTTCGGGATGCGGGGTGTAGGGTCTTAGGGTCTTTGGGTTTGGGGTCCTTGGGTTTAGGGTTTAGGGTCTTAGGGTCTTAGGGTCTTAGGGTTTAGGGTTTAGGGTTTAGGGTCATAGGGTTTAGGGTTTAGGGTCTTGGGTCCAGGAGGTGTTTGGGGTTTAGGGTCTTAGGTCCAGGAGGTGTGAAATTTGTAGGGCTTAGGGCTTAGAAAGCGAGATTCAAGAGAGAGCGCGAGAGAGAGAGAGAGAGACACCCAACACCCAAAACCTTGAGTTCTAAGTCGTCACAATCACTTCAATTTGGAGTTCCGAGCTTCAGAACGGTACGGGAAGGCCCCAAAGCCACCAAAGCCACTGTGTGTCATTTCGAGAACTAAGACAGGGTCCTTGGGCCCACGAAGCTCGGTTGGGGTCTACGAGAAAGCAGCAATTATGTATAAACTCACACCAAAACTGAAGCACTAAACCCTAAACTGTGGCCCTAGGCCCTAAGCAGGTCAGGGTATTTCAGGTTCAGAGCTTAGCAGGTTCGGGCTTCACGGTTTCGGAACCTGCCATAGTGAACTGAAGGTCCCTATTTAGGGCCGCTATGTATTTAGGTATGTATGTATGTA